TCTGAACAAAAGTTTGGAAAAATGTGTGATCATAAGTGACACTAAGATGCTAGCGGAACGAGTGCTAAACACAGACTGATGTAGCAAGCGCACAATCCGGGACTTCCCCTCTCGTCACTTGTTATGCGAAACGTCGCTCATTAAGAGTCATTTGTTTTGCTCATTATGCGAATTACTCGTTATGAGAGGTGCTCATTAAGCGAGGTTCCACTGTATCATTCTCCTATGAATTGTTCTTCACAAAATAGCTGTAGTTTTCAAATGATGTACATTATTCTATACAGAAAAAATTTGTTTTCCCAAGGCGATTGCTGGCTGAAGCAGCTGTCAAGCAGTTGGATCTGCCAACAGCTGAGGCTTCATTTGTTCGCTGCAGTGACTATCCAGGAATTCAGTTTGTGAAGCGCTTGCATAACATACATAATGATACACTGAAGAAAGCTGAAGTAGCAGCCTACTTCAAGAATTTTGATGAGGCAGAGAAACTTTACCTTGGGGTTGACAGAAGGTGAGTTGTGTGAGGAATTGGCAACAGCCCAGGAGAAGTGGGGGCAGTATAGCCATCTGTTCCTAAGAACCAAAAGTGTGTTGTTAAACTGAAATATATATCTGCAGTATTTTCGTAGATATATCAGAATATCCAAGTGTGTACAAGCTGCATTTTCCTCCCATAAATGTGAGCTGCCAGTGGCACAAGAATGAATATAAAATTTCACTCTTCTTTTTCTTTCATTGTTTTCTTCTTGCTCTTCCTCTTATGCTGTGCTGTAATATTTGATTTCAGATGTGGTCTTAACTGTTAGAGGTTTGTAAATTCTTATTTATACTGGCAGTGAAATTCCAGGGATAGACTATCTCATTACAAGATATCTACAGTCACAAGGCAGCAGAAAAATGCAGAAAAGCAAGCATGCCATAAATCTGCAGTTCCAATAACCAGATATCCCCAAAGACTTATGGTCACATTGCTGCTGTGATCAGCTTAAGTTATCACAACAAATTTACAGTAACTTTTTCCGTGCTATTAGCATATTATATCAGAGCCTCATCTGCATTGAATATTGCTAATGTTACATACCAGGCATGTCCAACTCGTCGATTGCGATCGACCGGTTGATTGCGGAACGATTTTTGGTCGATCTCATAGGCCTATAAGGAAATTATACGTGAAAAGCATGTAAATTCACTTGCAACATAATATGATTATATTCAGATTTTGAATGGAAAATACATCTTAGTCATTTCTGTTTTTCTGTTCTTATGTAACTTATGTGAAAGTTTCTTTACACTTGTGTTAAGTGAACTGTGGGGAAGTCCTTACTCTATCCTTATCATGTGAAATCTTATTTCAACACTCGTCGTCAGCCGCGTGTTTTGATGCAAGAGTGATCGACAGAACGTAATTCACTTCGTTCCCTCCCTCCAGTCAACTGTAAATCCCCATATGTTGAACTTACAAGTGAGACGTATTATTATATTAGCTGTTAGTGGAAATGCCTCGCTTTGCTGTGTATTGAACAAATACTGAGTCTGGAGATGAGCTCAGTGTAATCAAAGGGACAGTAGGTATTCTGCCCACGTTATTTTATTAATTTCAAAAGCGTCTGTGTGCGTGTGCCAGATAAAACAGTTACCTCAATATCGTGGAAAATTCAATGCCTCAGTATCCTTGGCAAAAAGGGTAATCTGGGACGTCATTATGTTGCTCTCCATAGCAATAAGTATGATGCTGATTTTCCACCCAAAAGTGAAATTCGTAAACTTAAGCTCAAAGAACTTAAATCGAAATTAGCTGCTCAACAACAGTTGATGGCAAAACCAAGGTCACTTTCTAACAATGCAACCAAATCATCCTTCAAGGTCAGCAATCTGATCGTTTCACTGAAGGAGAATTTGTAAAATAGCGTTTTTTTAAATAGCTTATAATCTTTTTGAAGAATTTAAAAATAAGAAAGAGATCATAGCTACTATTCAAGATCTTCAGTTATCAAGAAACACCATTGTGCAGCGAGTAGAAATTATGTGTGGAAACATCACTGAACAGTTGTTGAAAAATGTTTCCAGTTGTGTTGCTTTCTCCCTCCAACTGGATGAAGCTACAGACATCAGAGACACAGCCAAGTTATTAGTTGCTTTTACAACAAACATCATGTGTCGTGTTATTTTTACCAATATTTTTGCTTAAAGCGAGGTATGACGATAGGAGGGGGTGGTAGATCACTGGCAGTTTTGACACTAAAAAGTTTATCACAACCTGTTTGAAGTTGGAGATGCCTGTTATATACCATCACTGGAAGGAAGATTAAAATGTCCAAGTTTGAAAGAACACACAAAATGGAATGGAGAATTGCCATTTGGACTATAACTTCATGTTTGAGAAACTTATATCAGTGCTCATAATTCATCCTGATTGAATAATTACTAGCTTCAGCTGTGGACTGGTTCAAACTGACTCACTATTAGAGTTAGCAGTGTGCCTTTATGTTCATGGTTTTGAACCTTGAGTTTGTAATATCACAGGGTTAGTTGTGAAGTAGTTTAATGGTAGGTCAATATTAAGTTGTATTGTAGGAAATTGTAACAACACAGAGTGGCCACTGAGGTTACTTGATCCATGTTCTGGCAGAAGGATGAAGAGGGGTCTCTCGGATTTTCCTGTGCCATTTATTTCATCTTATTGCCCCTCTTTGAATGCTGAATGCATCATCCTCATATTCACCATATTATTCTCATACATGGTATCTATGTTTATCCCAGCAGTTTTTGTTCTTTCTCTGGGTTAATGTATTTGTAATACATTTACAATACCCCTGTCACACAATCAGTGATGTTTCATGTCTCTTTGATGCTGTCTCTTGGCTTCAATGTGACTTCCAACTTGCATGTCTCTATGGAGAACTCAGGAATGGAGGTTAAGTGAACTGCTCTCATTCCCTTTAAATGCAAGTCTAGGTGTGGAGCCTGGGCCATAGCTAGTACACCCACATATTCTACTGGTAGGAGCCCAGACAGCATAGCGACTTTGATGGTCACGCAAATAAGATGTAAAAGTTTGTGACGAAGATACATGAGTACAAACATTATGTTTATGGACATAACCATCATCTTGTCTTTCTCTAAAAACCATCCTGTTTTTTTTTCAAAACAGTGTTTTGGAGACTGGATTCTGTCTCCATCTTCAGTTGAAACCTATTCAGTTGGACCCAATCAATAGAGCTAGGCCCTGTCTCCCCATCTTGAAGCTGGCATAGTTGTCTGGAGATTGTTTGGTCATCACTGTAACAAGATGATAACATACTGCAGAAGGCTAACCACTTCGCTCTTCATTGTGAACATTTGTTCACTCACCCACCTTTGACCATTCTGTGCCATTGTGTTACAATTCCTTCACTCATTTCATTTTGTCTGTAAACTGCCGTGCATAATATACAATGGATTTCTGCATCACTCATGCTTTTAGCATGAAGAAAGTGGGTAAGAGCCAGAATTTCATAGGTGGCAGGACACATCATAACTCACTCTGTAGGGACAAGAACAAACACTAGATGACCAATTATGTGATGGTTTACAAGGCAATGAGTCATGTGACACTACCTCACATGCACAAGCTCTCCCTGCCCCTACATTAGTTGCCTAAAATAAACAGAGGTTACTTTCTGAGTATCCCTCATACTTAGCAATGTGTTTATTTCATGAAACATTTGTTTTGTGTCAGTAATACCAATAACTGCAGCCAATCTGAGTAATCCCTTATCAGACCTACTTACCCCATATATCCTACTAATGGACTTCATTGCTAACAATTTTCTGTACGAATCAGAGCTCACTTATGAAAGAGGTAGAACAATTTCTGTTGTATATGCTGTATGTAACCTAACTGTACTAAACATAAATACAAATACACAATTATATCAGGGATCCAGAACCTTATCTGTCCCAAAACTTTCTTTATACAATCCAGGCCTAACAGTCTACCTTGAATGGTCCATTCTTCCTGATCACTACCCTTTACATATTTGTGTTTCTATGAGTACACTATCTCCACACATCCAAACTGAATCCTCAGAGATGCTGTTTGGGTGGATTTCTCTTAGTCCACTATGTATGAGGACTGGGAATTTTGTGAGCAATGTAAACTGAACTGCTTCTTGTTATTTGTCTCCTTCATCCACTGACCTCATCATATCCCTGTCCATTGGTGGATGGATGCATGCATTCCATGTGGAAAACTTGATATTCTGCAAGTGCCCACCATGTGCATATTCTTGAAGGTTCATCTCTAGTCTTTCCCAGTTTATAAGTTGGATGTCATGGGAACAAATTATGGCATGTGTCAGGTATCCTGAGATTCGCTCAAAAGTTACAAAGAAATGCACTGGAAGAAAGAGGATGCACCTGTCCAGAATTTCTAAGAAACATTTTTAACTAAAGTTCCTTGGAGAATGTCAACTACTGTAGACTTGCAAGTGCCCAGAAGTTCATTTCAGCCACTCCAGAAACATCTGCCTTCTCATCTCTTGTAATTATACTTGTTTTTCCTCCACAGAGATCACTTCCAATGAGAGAGGCATTCATGTAAACCTATTTGTTTCTCAGTTTCATTTCTGGTATTACAATAACATTATGGGTGCAAAATAATCATTGCAGTTGATACAGCAACATAAATAATATGTGATACATCCTGTATTGTTTCCTGCTATTTTTCATTTCAGATTTACTATGTACTGCAATTTAATTGTGGTTAAAATTGACTGTTGTGTGCTGGCTTGGGAACCTATTCACCATTTGTAATACTGTGTCTGTGTGAAACCAAGTTCCAGATAAACTTTTACACCATGTTCCATTCATAACTATGTGTAATTCTCAGGGACCTGGCCATATCCTTACGTGAAAAGCTAGGGGATTGGTTCAGAGTGGTACAGCTGATGAAGATGGGATCTGGTGGCTCTGATGTCCAGATGGAAATTGCATGGAATTCCATAGGAGATTACTTTGCCGATCGTCAGAACTGGGAGGATGCAAGAGAATATTATGAGAAAGGTCGTAATCAGGAGCAGTTGGTTCACTGTTACTACATGCTAGAAGACTACACATCACTTGAGAACACCGTTGTCAACTTACCTGAAAATCATAATCTACTTCCATCCATAGCTGAGATGTTTGCATCTGTAGGAATGTGTGCTCAAGCTGTTACAGCATATATCAAGGTAACAATTTCTGTACATTTTTTGCACAGCAGTCATAAAATGAAGATGCAGTTTTCGTCAGTGTTTCATATCTAAAATTGCTGTATGAATTTTTATGACATTTGGGTACTGGGAGACAATGTGGTGTGACCAGTTTGTTTCCAGACTGTCTGCAGTGTGACATTACTGCAGTCTGCACAAATCTCCTTTGTTAGGTAGAGACAGAATAGAATATTCTGGGTCATTTGCCATTTAAAAGCTGCAACTTTCATTACTTTGAAGGAATACCTTTAAAAAAAAGGGTAATGCTATCCCTGTAACAGGCCATGGAGGCCCATAAACAAAAAACAAACAAACTCCGTGATTTCAGTCCGCAAGTAAACCATACTGTGGAGGCTCATAGGGTTGTGAAATGTCGAGGCTCCCACATTTTCTAGACAGTCAGCTGACAGATGGTGGTTAGAGGCTGTGTCAACCCCAGAGCCATAGTGTGGCTGGAAGGATTACTTAAATTAAAAAATGATCATTGGGAACTGAACCCATGACCGTCTAATGTGTGGCATAGTGCCTGAACCAACTATGGTACCACATGCTGCTGGGCTGATGGCGAGTGGGCTGACTGGCAAATTGTGAACATATCCCATAAAATTCAGGTGCCATCACATCCCACGATTGTTTCACAGACACATCAAAATGTTCCTGTTGTGATGGTAACACTGTCCTTGTGCTTCACTGAGCACCACACCATGAAGACAGATGGGGAAGTGGAAGTATAGTTCCATGCGTTCATAACATCGGTACTAGATGGACCTAAGTGATCACACCCAAGACCCCAAGGGATTGAGCCACTGCTAACTATTAGATAGAATCGCTGTGGACCCCAAAACCGATATTCATCCTATGACTGACAGAAAAGTCTCCTGCCCCCAGCCAAAAATCGAGGCAGGCTTGCTTGGTCATTCAGCCCGTAGTATAGCCACTATACCAACTGAGCTATTCTGTCTCCCCTGTTGTGACGCCTATGTACATATTCAACAGACGTATGAAACCAAATCACTGTGTTTCAAATCGAACAGTAAAACAAAATGCAACAAAAATACTTAAGTAAAATTTGACTAACTTCATGCAATTAAGAACTTCTCGAGAAGCCGTCGGTTGTACAGCTTCTTATGAACTTCCCAACATTTTACCGAACCTGAAGGTTCATAACCATGTTCAAAAGAGACATCCACTAGACCAAGGGTCTCCAAACTACGGCCGGCGATGTGATTTTATCTGGCCCGCAAAAGAATTCTGCAGAAATACGCCAATTGAACTAATTTTCCAATGAGTACTGGTAAATGCGATTCCGAGCTTATTGACCTGACATATTATGCTGCAGTTTGATCGCTTAACTGTGGAAAGGTTATTTCACACTTCTTTCAGCTCAGGAATGAAATTGATATATTTCTTACCGAGAAAAACCATCACAAACCACTTTTATCAGATACCAAGTGGTTTTGGAAATTAGCAGTTTTGCTGATCTGATGAACCATTTGAATTTAAAATTGCAGGGTGAAAATAACTTAGTCTGTGATTTATTTGCACTTATCAAGGCATTCAGAGCAAAGTTGATACTTCTGGAAAGCCAAGTGAAAAATTGTAACTTTGTTCATATGCTATACTGTGCAGAGTTGCATAAAAAGGGTGAAGCAGAATTTCCTTCCTCGTTTGCAAATTTAGTCATTTCAGATTTGAAAGAACAATTTCGGAAGCGATTTGCTGATTTGGATTCCAGTGCTCAGGAAATTAGATCATTTCAAAATCCGTTTGACTGTGATACTGCAGATGTCCCAAGTCAAATTCAATGGAAATTATTGAACTTCAGGAAAATTATCATATTAAAAGACAAATACAAGGAAGGAAATTTGATCAAATTTTATAAACTTCTGAACTCTAAGCAATTTCCAAATTTAAAGAAATTTGCTTGTAAATTTATCTCCATTTCTGGGAAGACATATCTGTGTGAACAAACTTTTTCCCAGATGAAGTACATCAAGTCAGAATACAGGACAAATTTATCCGATGAACATTTAAAGTCGCTACTTGTGATTAGCGTTTCAAAATTTGAACCTCAATTTAATCAGACTTTAAGAATGCAAAAAGAGTTCCATCATTCACATTAATTGTTTTATTATAATTTGTGATGGTAATATGAGCATTTGCTGCTACTGTCTGTTGTCATTAATATACGATAATTTATTCTCACATACTTTGTATTTTATGAAATTCTGTGCTTTCATTAAAACTCATATACCTAGAGTTATTAATTTCTCATTTTATCCGGCCCGTTGAAAGTGCTGAATTACCTAATGTGGCCCGCAGTTAGAAAAGTTTGGAGACCCCTGCACTAGACCCTTATCCTGAGCCAGATCAAGAAGGAATGCCTTAGGAAGTGAGATTATATGTTATGCCCTCTGCAAATTGCACTTCATCAGGAAATGGAAAATTTCAAAGAACACTGTATGTCCATCTAGTTGTGCTTTAAACTGCTAGAAACAGTGAAACTTGCTTTTGGAGAGGAAAGAATGAACATAACTCATATATTTCATTGGTTTTCAAAGTTCAAAGGAAGTGAATTCAGTAAGTCCATCCATAAGCAAAACAAATGAAAATACAGTGAAAATTAAGAACAGATGTGTCTCTAGCTGCAGTTTGGCTAATGAGGTGAAAATATTTGGATTATGCCAAAACATTTTGACCCCAAGATCCAAACATGCCACAGATTGCCACAGAATTCAAGCCTCATTGGCTGACAGATGAGCAGAAGCAGGTTTGGATCAGTGTGTGTGAAAACCTTCAGAAAAAACTTAAAGATTTGTATATAATTGCTTTCAATGGTCATTACAAAACTGGTGACTAAACTCAAGTTGGCATTCAGTGGCACTCCAGGAGAGGAAATTTGTTATCATCATGATTCAAGAAAAGTTACAGGCCAAGTTCAAAACACAGGACTCCTGTCAATGATTCCAACATTGGTGCAGTCACTGGACACATTGCATCAAGTCTCAAGGGGACAGCATAGAACAGAGGGTAAATATAGTTTCCCCCCCACCCACAGACATGGCTAATACAAAAGATGGGTACATTACACAAAATTACAGTTGATATTAAGGTCTCAAAATATATAGAACATTTTTTTCAGTATAACAAAATAAAAAATAAAATGTTATGTGTAATATATGGCATTATACTTTACATCAATAGATCTGTATTTTATTTAGGCCCAGTACTTTCCTGTATGCACAGTATGTTTATATTGAGGCACATGTGCGCAAAATTGCAAAGAATGCTTCTTATACACTTTTATTTCAAATATTTCCACTTCTCTTAAGTTTATACTTAAATATGTTTTGTCAGTGTTTAGGGCTCATGAAATGATCTAGTAGTTGTTAGTAGAAAATACAGTGTTTAAATTCTGTGTTAATATTAGTGCAAGGACATATTTTTCATCAAAGATTTTGTTGTAGTTTAAGTTAAACCCCTGGGCTTGAACTGAAATCATTTTGAAGGAGGAGACCAGTGTAGCTCTCATTTCCCATGGACAGTACTCAGTAACACTGATACTTATGTAGTTATTAAATGACATCTAGAGAGATACAAATTCTGGTTTCTTTTACTTCGTTTCTCAGGATTTTATTATTCTAGCTGTTTCCAGTCATGAGAGAGAGATAGAGGGGGGGAGGGGGAGGACCCCCCCACGTTAATTTCGATGATCCCAAGTCAAGTTTAGCATTCAAATCCACTGGTCCCCAAAGAAACTTTGAAAGGTGGTTTCACTGTATTTGGAAACATTGCAAAGTGAATATTAAAACGGGAAAATTGAACTAATTACAGAATGGAGAAAGTTACATAATGTGAAATTTGGTGATCTGTGGTCCTTTTTCTTGAAGATTATGAACTTCATGCACATAACTAAAATGGATGGAATGAGACTTTTGTGGAGACACCCATTGTAAAGTTGTTGCTTGGAAGACTCAGAAAAAGGTGGGATGGGACCATAGTGCTAGGTTAAGTCTTAGGAAATAGTGTGTTGTAATAATCATTGCACTTCTTATAATGTCTTGTAGCAGGCTTTGATGTTAGCAGCCTCCAACCGTTGGGACTTAATACTATAAAGCTAGTTTATTAGTGATCGCTAATGTGGATTTTCAGTGTGGACAAGTGAAGTCAGCTGTGGACACTTGTGTCAATCTGAATCAGTGGGATCAAGCTGTAGATCTGGCAAAGAAGTTTAAGTTGCCTGAAATTGGCAACCTGTTAGCTAAATATGCCTCTCACTTATTGGCAAAAGACAGATTACTTGAGGCTGTCGAATTGTACCGAAAAGCCAACCACTTCTTGGAGGCTGCCAAGCTTTTATACCAGGTATGTCAAATTACTGTTACCTATAAGGTGCTGATATCTCTTGGATTTGCTCTGGAGTTTTTGCATTAGCTCTTTCTTTGCCCTCATTTTAAGAGAATATATACAATGTTCATGCTTCAGATATCATGCTTCATTTAAGACGGAGTGATTTATATTTGCTTCATTTAAGATTTATAAGTGTTTTTCTTACATTATTGGTGTTTATTTCTATAAACAGGGCCTCTGCCAAATCAATCCAGCCTACTTTCCTTAATTTACAATATAATTTTATCTTTATTTCAGCCTCTTTTCCATTCAACCAGTTGAAAGATTTTTTTATGGAACATGGTATGATCCTACTCTGCCATTAAAGGCCTCCAGCCTGTGAATTTATTTTTACTTTTTTAATTAATGATGCCATCAGTGAGACAGACTATATAACATCAAGTGGTAGGAAGAATAGTAAATAATAAAATTGGAAAGGATTTAGTAGAAACAGTTGAAGCCTAATTTAAGGTACTGTCTTGCCTGTACGGACTGATGGAAACCATAATAAATCTTCCCATGACACCTGGCATCTGTGTCAAGATTATTTGAACCTGGGGCCTTCAAAATGTAAAACAGGAGTACTGTCCACTTGACTATGATGTACTTTTTAATTTCCTTCTTTCAGTAATAACATTGTGGTTGCTATGTTAACTTCCAAGTTTCTTTAATATAGGGACCTGAAAGTTTGATTGACTGCACTGTATTTGGTTTTTAGTTTGAAGGCAGTAACTAATGAACCGATGGAGCTAGGTATTGTGTGAAGTTTGTGTCAAGGTATATCTTTTTATTTGTTAACAGTTACACACATTGTAATGGTATGATATTTCTTGAGTTTATATCTGACAAATTGAACATGTTGGAGAATTTGTACCAGCAGAAATTATGCACAGAACTGGACTGTTAGTTTCTTACTAACCTCCAGTTATTTATCATGGAATTTTAAGGAAAGTGGGTGTTGTAGTTTGTCTATAATACTTGTTATAATTTTTTCCAGTTAGCTGAGGCAGAAGCCAAGAAAAAATCACAGCCTCTTAGAGTGAAGAAACTGTATGTACTTTCTGCACTACTTGTAGAAGAACATCAGCGGCACCTCAGACAGCAAGTGCAGGGCTTAGCAGGTGAGGTAGCTCAACTTTCTGAATATGAGTACAATGATGAGGTCAGTACTGGCCCAATTTTCATCTGAAGTGAGCCAAAAGGTAATTTGTCTTCATGGTGGAAACTACTTCCATTTTATAATGGTTGTAATGCTCTGTGTTATGTACTTTGCCATTTCATTTATTGAAATGTTCTTATCTCATTTAAAATTCTTGTGAATTGATTCTGTAAATAAATGTAGTAAAGTGAAAGTAAAGCTATCCCTGTACCAGGCCGTGAAGACCCATAGGGTTGTCAGATGTTGAGGGTCCCACATTATCTAGACAATCTGCTCAAATATGGCGGTAAGGTTGTCAGCCTTACGCGCCAGCCACGCTTTACTCCCCAGGAAAATTATTTAATTAATTCCTGGTACTCATTTCTCTTAAGAGGCTGAGTGAACTCCAGGGCCATAGTGCAGCTGGAAGGGTTAGGTCAATTGAAAAAAATCCAATGACCTCATCGGGACTTGAACCTGCGACCTTCTGGCTTGTCTATTAAAATTGTATCAGGAAATTAGGAATGTTCATATCCACCACAGTGTTCTGTCTTGAAGAAGCATTTAAATTAATCAGTGAGATGTCAAGGAAATAACCGATTGATAATGGTTTCTTGAAATTCTGACTACTTGGACTTTTGGATATAATTTAGTACAGATTTTTGTGCAGTAAGGAAGAACAAGAGAAGTTCGGCCTTCTTTGTTACATCCAGTAGTTCTTGTTGTACGTCTGTATGATAACACTAAAATTTACTCCTCCTCCTCCTACCCCCACCACCACCACCACCACCACCAGCAGAGCGTAAATCTTAAACATTTCTCTTGGATGACACTCTTCATGTCAAAAGTAACATATAGGTTTGTTTTGCAGGTGGAAAAAGCACACTGATGATGGGTCTATTGGAGAGTGATGGCAGGCTGGATGTAGATACCAAGATAATAGACAATGCATGGAAAGGGGCTGAAGCCTATCATTTCTTTATGTTAGCCCAGAGACAACTGTATGAAGGTACCCTTCTGTCTTCCTCAGAGTCTTTTTTTTTGGGGGGGGGGTTGCTCTCAGTCTTGGAAATCACCATACAAAATTATGTAAGATTTGAGGTTTTCATGATATGACTATGAAGAGTGCCATCTTCTGGGATGTGGCACCGTGTAGATCCTGTGTGAAGATGGAGGCGGTATGTTCCTCCAAAACATCGGTTCACACAGGATCTGCATGGCGTCACATCCCAGAAGACGGCATTCTTCACCTTCCAGAACTCATCAACCATAAAGATGTTCTTCTTAAAATGATTTTTGCACGTAAGCTATGCATTGTATGTACACTGAAATCCTGATTTATTTTTCCTGCATTTAGTGAAATTCTTTAGTTAGTTTTGTGACTCCAGCTGGAGCCCCATGTAAACAGAGTGTTAGTTAAGATTTAAAAGTTTGTGATGATTGTATATTAATACAAATATTGTGTTTCTGGACATTAACCATCATCCTGTTTTTATTTTAAACACCATATTTTTATTTATAACACGTTTTGGAGACTGGATTCTGTCTCTGTCTCCAGGTGGAACGTACTCAATTGGGCCCAATCAACAGAGTACCTATCTCCAGATATAGGACTGGAGATAGGGTCTAATCTATATGGGTTGGGCCCAGCTGAGGTTCCATCCGAAGATGGAGACAGAATCCAGTCTCCGAAATGTTGTGTTATAAATAAAAACAGGAAATGGATAATGTCCAGGAACACAATAGTTGTATTAGATAATCATATTTAGCAAATTTTGATTTAGTAGGTAACCTGCATTCTGAGTAGAAAAAAATGACCATCCACTGTGTGTTTATTGAAAAGCAATTAATAATGGAATTTTCTGTCTGCTGGAATTTGTTACTACACAGCCATAATGTCTCGTGACTGAAGATGACCATAAGCTAAGGCCATCCGGGTTATGGCATCATAATTGCTGTGATTCTTAACTGAGGTTCTTTCAGTGTTGACTTTATATGGCATTAATTAATTTAGAGGCTAAAATTATTTTAACTTAATTATATAGAGTGAGTTTTTAAGAGGAGTATAGCTGCAAATATATTGAATAAGCAGTTGAGGACATCTGACAAGGAGTAGTCCTCCAGATTAGGGGTTGGGCACGGGCCTAACAACTCCTCAGTGTAAAAAGTAAGCTTGTTACCAGGTGGGACTGAAATTAAAGAGGACATATCAGCTGTTGGTCTATGCTGATGATGTGAATCTACTGGGTGATAATATAGATAACACAAGGAAGAACACAGAAACTTTAATTGATGCTAGTAAGAAGGTCGGTCTACAAGTAAACACAGAGAAAAATAAGTATATGTTGCTGTCTTGTCACCAAAATGCAGGGCAAAATCATGACATAATGATAGGCAACAGATGTTTTGAAAATATGGCATAGTTCAAATATTTGGGAATGATGATAACAGATCGAACCCTGATTGAGAAGGAAATTAAGAGGAGATTGGACTCGAGTAATGCTTGCTACCATTCAGTCCAGAGCCTTTTGTCTTCTCGTCTTCCATCTAAAAATGTAAAAATTAGAATATACAAAACTCTGATTTTGCCTGTGGTTCTGTATGGGTGTGAAACTTGATCTCTGACATTAAGGGAGGAACATAGACTGAGGGTGTTTGAGAACAGGGTGTTGAGGAGAATATTTGGACTGAAGAGAAATGAAGTGATGGGAGGTTGGAGAAAACTTCATAATGAGGAGCTTCATAACTTGCACACTTCTCCAAATATAATTGGAATGATCAAGTCAAGGAGGATGAGTTGGGTGGGGCATGTAGCACAAATGGGGAGCAGGAGGAATGCATATTGGATGTTGGTGGGAAAGTCTGAAGGAAAAAGACTACTAAGAAGACCAAGATCTTGGAGAGATAGGATGGGTTGTTATGGTTTGAATTGATCTGGCTCAGGACAGTGACCAGTGGAGGGCTCTTGTGAACACGGCAATGAACCTTTAGGTTCCATAAAATGCTGGGAAGTTCTTGAGTAGCTTCACAATTGGCAGCTTCTCAAGAATGGCTCAGCTTCATGAGTGAAGTTTTATATAATTTTGCTTAATTTACATTTAGTGAAAACCTCAATCTAATGGAAGGAAAGCCATTACCCAGAGACAGTCTAAACAGGGATTTTATTGCATCATGAATATCTTTTCCAGGTTATGTAGATGCAGCCATGAAAACAGCTCTCCACTTGAGGGAATATGAAGATATTTTAGAGACAGAAGATATTTATTGTATTTTGGCTTTAGCAAGTTGTGCCAACAGAGCATTTGGAACTTGTTCAAAGGCGTTTATCAGGCTTGAATCACTTGAGAAAGTAAGTAACAGAATAAATGTTATTCTACTTTCCATGCTGACCTACTTGAAGATGACATGTATTGTATAGATGTGTCCCCCTTCTGTAACAGAATTGATTACTTCTTACTAAATTATGTAACCTTGCACATTTTATAAGATGTCCAATTTACACATTTGCCATTACATTCAACTGGCCACAGGGGTAAAGCAGCCAGAGCATCAAACTGAATACTGTCCATTCAGGAACAGACTTATTCCATTATCCTTATTCTGCTTTGTGATATGGTGCTTAGGTTTAAGATAACTTTACTTTTCAGTTTTATCATTGTATATGCGGGTGGCAAGCTTACTTGTGAAACTAGTTTTCCACCCATC